TAGCATGGAGAGTATTCCAAAGCTCTCCTGTGGATTAGTCCTGATAATCAGGGATACCACGTAAACCGCCTAGGTTTGTCATTCTGTTTAGTCTATTTCTCGTTGTTTTCATATCAGTTTGTTTGCAGAAAAGAGGTCCAATCTGATTTCATCTGGCTCAACACTGTGGTTTGTACAAAATCACATATCTAAAAAAAAAATTGATTTGTTCCAAATGATTTTTGTTATCCCATTCCTCAAACACATTCAACATTTTGGACTATGTTAATTGAGGAAGTCATGGACTCAAATTTTGGGACATAGACTAGAGGTAGGACAATGTTGGAAGTGATGTTCTCAGCTTTAGAGTCGGTGTAGTCATAAAGAGTTTGTTCATCCATGCCTCTAGGATTTTTTGGTTCAAAAGAGAGTTTATCGATTTCCACTTCTGAAGACTCGTGGAAGAAAGGGTTAAGACTAATATATGTAAGTTGCTTCCCCTTAGAAACTCTATTTTTAGCTAGTGGTGTCCTTGCTACTAAAGAATAAAAGGTACCACTACAATAAACACTTTCTTGGGACAACCTTTTGAGCTTAAGTTTATTTGTTCTCCCCCTAGTTTGTGTTGAGATCATGCTCAAAAGCTGCTTTACAAAAGCTATCAAGTGACAAGCTCTTGTACAAAAATGGTGCCAAAACATTCGATTTTCGACAGAACATGGCATCCTACCAATTTTGTGCCTTCTATATTTGAATATGGACTCCGACTACAAACTACCAAATAAGAAAAAAATATAAACTACCATAATCAAGAATACGAACAGAATCAAATAAAAACTTAACACAAACTAAAATTATAATAGATTAAAAAAAATAATAAAGAACTTGTACCTTATTCCCTTTCTGAAGATTGTACGAGTTTCTCGCAACAACGCCAAAATTTGATGTATTATAGAAGGGATCAAATTTAACTGATTGGTATCTTAGATTGTCTTTACTTCGGGCCTCTCATGTCTCCTTACTTAGTCGATAAAGGACATGCTCTTGTCTATCAAAATGTACTGTAGAGGTTAAGGTGCCTCCAAGTTGAGGTTCCCCATAATTTGAGGAATGGATCAGGTCAGTAACCTTATTGTGAATAATCATGAGTAACCCGTCCACATCAGCATCTCTCTCCTGCAAAGCCTTTAATTTTCCCCTCCTTAATCTTTGACGGACGATTTCTCACTCGTTTTAAGTCAAAATTTAATTTTTTTTTGCACAGTTAGATCACATTAATTGTGCTCTTCAAAATGATATCCACTTTGATATTTTTTTCGAACTGGTAAAAAATTGAGCCATTTTTTACCAGTCTATACCATATGGTATTGACTGGTATTGAAATAAGAGCATACCTATGGTTTGAAAAGCGTACCATGGTGGTATGAACAAACCAACACTGTAGGATGGTTGAATACATGATAGTAGAAGTATATTAACTGTCATTTACAACTTTTAACATTGTGTACCACAAGATACCACCCCGTACCAGGGTGGTATTTGTGTGGTATTTTTGGTTCTATAATTTGTTCACCTAGAAATTTGTAGATTCAATAGATCATGATGAACCCGTTCCTTATGTGCAAACGTTTTCAAAAACGAAGAAGATACCATATGGTATGCAGTTGGTACCCAGAGACACGAATTTTTTTTTTCAGAAAAAATATTGAAAATATATCTCATTTTGTAGAGCACGATGAACTCGTTCCATCTGTGAAAAAATTAAAATTCGAGATAAAACTAAGAAGATATGAACCGATTAAGAAAACTAGGGAAAATAAAAATGACATTTAATTCTCCATCCTTAGATCTGAATTTTCTAAATGAAGCGTCCAGATTTAGTTACTGAGAAGGTTATGCATCCTATCTAGCACCAAAAAACAAAAGAGAAAGAATAGAAAAGTAACTAAACTACTGGAGGAGGGAAAACTAACAGGAAAATAATTCCTTCCTCAGATCGGTCCATCCCCAGCTCTCATCTTACAACTGCTACATCTCTATCATTCCTTTCATCCGCCACCCCCACCCCCACCTTCATAACCCTCGAGCTTTCCACCGCGATTCCTCTGGCTTCACTGTCATTGTAAAATGACCATACACTCACCAGCTTCCCTAGCCCATCCCCTCTGCATCTTCAGATCTGAGCCCTCTGTAACAGTCCCACTCCCTTACAGCCAACACCATGCGCTGCACCGCCTCAAACGCTCCATGCGCTGCACCGCCTCCTCTGCTGGATTCGAAAATTGCCAATCCTCGATTATTCTCGTCCCTCTAGCTGCTCCCTCCTGTATAGCTGCTAAATGGTTCCAGACATACTTGTCTTCGTTGCCGATGTGAATAGCTTCTTAAAGGGAACATGCCTCCCTTTCTCCTACTTCGCTTTGTCGAGGGATTTCTATTTCAGTCAATTGGCCACCTAGTTCTATTCAAAATCTACTGGCAAAAGGCTGCTCGCTATCGATTCGTGTATCAGAAAAATAACAATTTTAAAGTCATAGTTTTAATATTACTCAAAAGTGAAAGTAATCTAATTTCATTCTTAATTATTATTTTCATACGTTTGTTATTTACAATAGCATATGGTCGATGAACTCGCATAACGTAGAAGGGTCATTGAATAGATTATTCATGTTTAAACTTCTTTCATGACGCTATTGTTTCAATTTGTATGGCTAATAGTTGACCTGCTGTAACTTTTTCATAATGAAGTAATTTTCTGGATTTTTCAAGATGTACTATTTTAAAAAACAGTTGCGTGTTTACCTGAAAACTAGCATAATTACTTTCTAATATATGAGGTAATGAAAAATTACTAATAAATATTTCTAACATAAAATATGAATAGAAATTCTAAAAATAAAAGAGTATTAAAAATGGATCACTTTAGATTTATTTCATATTAAATAATATAAATTTTCAATTTATTTTCTTATAATGATATAAATGAAAAACAAATATATTTTCTAGAAAATGAATAATATATGGTAACGTATTTTCAAGTTAGAACTTCTGCTTTTAATTTACAAAAAAACTTCAGTTTTATAAAAAGAGAAATTTTAGAGGTGTTTGGCTTGACTTCAACTTTTGAAATATAAAACTTCTAAAATTCGAGTCAAACATAGTCGTACTCTTTTGGCTTTTTTTTTGTTTAAGGTAATCATGGTTCTCCTTTATGAAATTTTTGGACTGATTGCAGGTTTGACTAGGTTCAACTTGCATTGATCGGGTCAAATTAGGTTGGATACCCATAGATTTGGGTTCAATTGTTTTTCTCAAACAAAAGGAAAAGCGAAATGAAAAACACTAAAGCTAAAACTCACTACTAACTCAAAACTCGTCAACACCAAGTCAACTAGCTTTGACCTGCTTGAACCAATTTTTGTGCAAATTAACACATGACATAGCCCGCCAATTACAAGAACAGATAAAACTCGCTCCCGTGAAAAACCTATAAAATGGGTTAAAGTCGCTTCGGGTCAAATTAGGTTGGATACTCATGCATATGTACTCAATTGTCATTCTCAACCAAAAGGAAAAAGTAAAAAAAAATACTAAATCAGATAAAACTCGCTCACGACACCAAACTCTCAACACTGCGTTCAACTCGCTTTGACCGGGTCGACCCAGTTTTAACAAATTCATAATTCATCCAACCTGTAAATTACAAAAGTGGCTAAAACTTGCTCTAGATATGAAACGCATCAACAATGGTTCAAAATTTAATTGTCATTCTCAAAGAAAAGAAAATTGAGAAATAAAAAGAGGATAAAGCACGAGCATGCTTGACACGGGAATATACCGTGACAAATGTTTTCGGTTACGGGAATTGGATGTTCAGTCACGGGAAATCCAGTGATCGAAGGTGAATTTTTCTATAATGAACAAATACCGTTTGCATATGTCACTTGTACAGAAAGGCCACTTCCCATTGCATTTGATGTGAAAGTACATAAGGGCGCCATTCCTCTCACATCCATCCAAATGTCGACATCAAAATATAATAAACATAATAAGAGGGTTTCAAACAAATACGATATGTAAATCCAAGACTCGAACATTACATTTTCTAAACAACCTTTAGCGTATGAAAACCTACATAACTAACAAACTAACCATTCATGGAAACAAAATCTAGGATAACATCACTTGAAAGATGAGATTCCTAAAGACCTTGAAATTAGTGGCCTAAACAAGAAAATGGCAGCTAGGTTGCCATTTTATCCTCGAGTCTATTGATAGCTTCTGGATTGGTGAGGTCCTCCATCGACAGAACATCCCCCTATATGAATTGATTCTCGAATATTGGTAAAGAATTTTTATTTACAGCCTCTTCCGTCAAATTTCTTGAGAGATAAAGTATGAGTAAAGTTCTAATGGTCGATCGTCTAACATATTTCCAGCTTAGCCTTCAAGTAGAAAATATTCGTACAGTTCTGTCTGAGCTGGGTCCAATGAGAAATGGTGCATGAGGTACCATTTTGGGCATTTGGTTGACTAAATTTCATGCCATTTTGGGATTGAGCTCCAATCTTCATTATTTACTTCATAACATTTGGACCTTGATGTCTCCCACTCATACAAGTTGGTCCAGTAGAATACTTTGACTTGAAAACACATAAAATAGTACCCAAAGGACATCAAAATAGTAAAATTAGTCGTAGGAGCTACTACACATTGAAGCAATTATCCAGCAATTTCAAAATGATGCAAAACATGTCATTAATTAATTGGGTAGCTCACTTAGTGGTTGGAAAGGCCATTTCTTTGTATCCGGCTACAGATCACTCTTTTGATTTTCTTTCCTGGTTATATACCATAATGTAATTTGTTTGATCTCTTCCTAATCAATATAAAATTATCTTTAGTAAAAATAAAAATTGGGGTCTAAAATAATATCATTTACATGTCAATAGTTGGTTTTGAAATGCATTGTCAAAATAATAGTAAAATTAGGTATAAACGACATTTATATCCTTAATTCTTCCTCATCTTAACTCTTCAAATTTTTCCCACCCAGGTTTCCTTTCTTATTTTCTCCACAAAAAAACATAATCGGGGAGCAAAAGGCCGAAAAATATTTTGACATGCTATTCTCATTCTCCCTCCCTAATGATTCTTTCCTGAAACCATATTTTTTCAATCCTGTTTCCAATCTTCATTTTCCTCTGTTAAAAATCCCAAAGCCACCCTCTCTGACGCCGCTTGCTCCTCTTCCTCCTCCCTAATGTGATTAGAGGTTAGATTCTTCTATGCCCTATTGCATCAAATTTTAACTTCCCTTTATAATGTAGCTTTTTTTGTTTATGGGAATGTCTCTCTCGAAATTTTAGAAAGGTTGTTTGGTCTCGGATAGGTACCTTCATACAAAAATTTTGTATTTTATTATGGGTTTTGATCATTTTGACTATAGAGGAGGTGAGAAGAACCCAACTCATACCCCCAAGCACAATGTTGATTAATTATGCAACATCCCATGAATTATGGTTGTTAATGTTGTCTCTATTAGGGAGAAGAAAGGCTATTAGAGGTAAAAATGATAAGAGGAGAATATGGTTTGCTTTGAATCATTTTCGTCTTAATTTTATCAAATCTTCCCCTTATTGGTTGGAATTTTGATTAAAATGGGGAGAGTATTGAATGTTCAAAGCTTTCTGAGATCGAAGAAGATAGAGTAGGCAATGCTTTCCCTCATGTTCACAAAGTAAAAGCTCTCACTTGCATTAATACACTTGTTCATCTCTATGCCAGAGAGTTTTTTTTTTTTATATAATTAATCATTGAAAATTTTCAAATATGTATGACATTAAGGGTGAATATGGGTATAGACTAGACTAATAATGCACTTATTTTATGAACCAATAACACAAAGCTGGTTGTGATTTGTTTTTATTATAAACAATTAATAGTTTCCTCATATTCCATGTTTAGGTTGATGAGGATCAAGTTTATGGAGGAGAAAAGAAGGTTGGTGACGAGTTGGAATGGTTACATAATTCTGGTCATATTTTCTCTCGGTTAGCTCCATGTTTTGGTGAGTAATATTGGGCACCATAGCTAAAGTGATTGTTATAATGTCAGTTTAGTTGAATTTGACTTATTTCAACACTATATTTAAGATTTATTCAATCCTTAAGATCTTCTATTAATATGAGAGGAAGAAGACGATTCTAAGTTCAAACTCGTGAAAGCTAATCCCACCTTGTTTTAATAACTTTTTTGTTGTTATACATTTTTAAGTCTACTATTTAATAATATGATCTTATTTCACTTATCAGTTTGTGGTGATATTAGCAAATGCTATGGTTGGTCCTCGAGTATGGCTAGGAGGGATATTTAATCGCTTCACCAGACGTACTGAAAAATTCCCTAATGAAAATCCACATCTGGTAAATATAAATCGATAGTGATATTATAAATTTTGATATTTTTTGCCACATAAATTCTTTTCATATTTTTTTTAATAACTTCTTATGTCAAATACTTTTTGAGTTAGTGTACTTGATATTTCTTGCATTAATATGGTTTTTCTTTACTGATAGGAACAAAGACTCACACGACTTCAACATCGAGTGAAAACATCTTTTGATGAAACCCGCCGTGATCATCAAGTATATGTTCCATTCATGGGTCTATCATTCTTCTCTCTAGCCATTTTATTTGGCCTCCCTATTTTATAGATTTTGAAATTATTCAATGCGAACAGGATCAAATCAGATTACACATATTCCGAATATATCTCGATTTCATATATTTTATGAAAGATAAAGAGGAAAAAAGAAGAAAGCAAAATCCTGACTTAAATGTTTTAATCTGATTCTTGAGGATTCAATCTGATTCTTGAACATATAGTACTATGCATGATCCTCACTTAAATGTTTAATATAATCCATAAATGCTAAGTTTTTATCTCATTTCCATTCTCTTTGTGCAGGAGGCCCTAAAGTCATTGTGGAGTACAGCCTTCCCAGATGTTCCTTTGACTGGATTGATCTCTGAGCAGTGGAAAGAAATGGGATGGCAAGGTCATAACCCATCAACTGATTTTAGGTAATTTAACCATTAAGGACAAAAAATTATGGATTTCCAACTTACATTCAACAATTTCCTTTTTGGTGATGTTATAGTTTATCTTCTTGGTTGATTCTCTTGTGTAATATTTCTTAGGGGATGCGGCTTTATTGCACTAGAGAATTTGCTGTTTTTTGCTAGGACTTATCCGGTATGCCTCCTTTGAGCCTAAATTCATCTTTTAAGACCACGTAACCATCAATGATTATCTACTAATTGTATGCAAATACGGATGAAGGCATCTTTTCGCAGGTTATTGTTCAAACAGAATGGAGAGCGCGCAGAATGGGAATACCCATTTGCTGTGGCTGGAATTAATGTGTCATTTATGTTAATCCAAATGTTGGATTTGAACTCGGGTAATTGGAGATTATCACTGATTTTCCAGTTTTTTCTTATCATTTCCCTAACCACTAATTACTTGATTATGTTTCTTATCTCATAGAAAGACCGAAAACCCAACCTGGAATAAGTTTTCTTAAACTACTAGGAGGTAAAATAAAAAAATAAAAAACATTTTGGTCTCAAGAAATGATTCCTCAATTCTAAGTACTCTTTCTAACTCTACTGTCACTTGCTCATCAAAACTTTATGTTTCTAACAACTGTAGAAGATGAAACGGCTTTTGACGTCCTGTTCTGCATGGCTTTCCAACTTATGGATGCTCAATGGCTCGCTATGCAAGCTTCTTACATGGAGTTCAACGTAAAAAATTTAGTAATTTTATTCATATCTTAAAATGTTGCATTCTATGCACTAAGACTAGGTTTTAAATTTGGAAGCATTTTGTTTGTTGTAGGAGGTTCTTGAAGCAACAAAGCAACAATTAGAAAGGGAGCTAGATATAGAAGATGTTCATCGGATAATAGACTTGCCGGCATACCTCCTATTGTATCAATAACATTGAATATAATATTGTAACACTACACATGACAGGTTCGAAAGAAAATGCTTAAGAGAAACTAGAATAAACATCCTAATATATGTAACCTATATTTAAGAGATTTTTTCAAATTTTAAGTAGCTTTTATACGAACAGAGACTATTATAAGTATTTGTTGTGCAGGTGGACCCCTGGGGCATTGTTCATCATAGGGTATTTGTCATGAATAAATATATCAGTAGTGGTCGTCCAATAAACGCCAAGTAGAGATCGAGTTTGGGTTTGACTCATTGACATGCTTACAACGCCGTTTGTAAGGACGTCTTTAAAATGACCATAACTATAAAATTGGGTGTTTGGCGCTCTGTGTGATCGTTGTATGAACATAGTGGAAATTTCGTAATTAAGAAGTCATGCATTCATCAAATGTCTGCAAAGCGCCCTACACCAGATTATAGACAGCTTTGGATGCTGTAAAGAAATTCTTACCAATGGTGTTGTAATTAGCATAGTTGGATTCTATACAAGAGCCACCAATGGTGTTGTAACCACCATAGTTGGATTCTATACAAGAGCCAATGGATGAAGGAAATGTGGAGCATCTAAACCCATGGACTCTAGAGAGGTACATTCCATGTATTGGTGTTTGACCAAATTATAAAACTTGCACGGATTCTTCCTTTCTTAGATCTTGCAAGGTGATTTCTCTCGCTAAAAATGCCCAAAACCCTAATTTCTCACTCTAGATTGACTCTCCTTAACCAAGAGCTATAGTGAAATCTGGGGTACGTCGCCACGACTTTGCATGACGCGAGTGCTGGCCACGGCTTGGAAGGTGTCATTATCGCAATACAATGGCCATAAAATAGCTAGGTCACATCCATGTTGTAGTTGTAGCCATGACCATGCCCTTAACGAGCAAAAAAATCTTTGAATCTTTTATTTCACCAAAGTTCACGTGCTTCGAGATCCCAGCTGTGAACTCCAACTTGCGGCCATGATCTTTTCTCATGCATAGCCCCTTCTTCGCCACAAACTAGGCCACGAGAGCTATTGTTTGTTTTTTTTTAAGTCCAAAGAGGAAGATCATGGCCAAGTCACATTAAGCTCAAGGTCAGGATCCTGACCTTGACCTTAACACGTAAAAATTCCCCGAATCCTCGATCTCTAGTCGTGTCTTGACTTAGTTTAGGAGCTCCAAGATCTCAGGTGTGATCTCCAACTCGCGACCATAATCTTTTCTAATTAGCAGTCTCTTTTTGGCCACGAGTCTGGCCGCAAAACGTTATGTTCGTCCGAAGGCCGGGGAAACCGAAAGCTTATGTTGGAATGTCTCGAAAAACCGCTAAAATTTGAGAATAAAATATCAATCCCTCTACAGTAGTTTGAGTATAGAGAAATATACGTGTGATACTTCTAATGATTCAAACCAGTGACATTATTGTTATTAATGAATTTGTTGACCATTAGATTACAATTTACTTAATTCAAACATAAATACATATATGATCTAAAATAAAAGTCCAATTATACTTTGATACCCCAATTTTTCTTGCAAATCCTAAAACCTTAACTTTAATTGGATACGCACGAGCTTAGACCTTCTCTCTTCTCCCTTTCCGTCCAACAGTCAAAACCTCCCTCCATAATCCATTACGCTTCCTCAGGACCTGTCGACTACCATGCCAACTCCACCTTCCCTTATCCTTGCAAATCTCAACTTCATTAATCACAATATTCCTATCGCCATTCACAGACCCTGAGGCAGAGGAGAAGCCATGAAGGCCACGATTTTTGAATGTCCAACCCTAGTTATGTCGTTCCTATTTCGGTAGTCCCAACACAAAACTCTAATCTCCAGCCTTCATCCGGATTTTCTTTATCGATGAATTTTACAATGCTTTAAAGAATTGGTGCTTTAGTTTTAGCCTTTATGGTACAACTTGAAGTTGTATCTTTAAGGTTATGGTACAACTTTAGGTTGTACCTATACTCTTTTGTAAAATCCCTTTATGGCACAAATTAAAGTTGTACATTTAAGTTATGGTACAACTTGAAGAGTTGAAGTTGTACCACACATAAAGATCAAATTCCCTTATGGTACAACTCTAACTTGTACCTTTAACGTTGTGGTACAACTTAAAATTGCACTTTAAAGCACCAATACTTTAAAGCATAATAGAAGTGCTCTTCTTTATCGATGAGACTTGCACTTGTTGAGGCATGAGTTACTGCCACCTGTGTGCTCAAATTGTACATCCTTAACATACGAGTTGCTTCAATTATGGTAAATTTAAGTCTTCTATTTCCCCTGCCAATCCTCAATCCGGTCACTACTAACAAAATATTAGTCCTTACTAACGATGAGAAGTGATCATGTTTATAAGGGATGACTAAAAGTCATTAGAAGGAAAATATCTTTAATTAATTCAAAAACATCAGACATATATCATAAGTATTTAGCATTAAAAAATTTTTAAATTTGAACGACTAATCATATATCAACTATAAATCATAACAAGGCAATTTGAATGACTACGAGTATTTGAGGCCACAAGCTGTGAACATTGGTTCCAAATCCAGCATCATCATGCTTCGGGTAAACGTGCCTAATTTTGAGCTACGCTTTTCAGTGATTCACATGGTCCAGAATGCTAGAAGTTTTGAGGGCCGCAAAAACAAGATTATGGTCGAACATATCCAAACGTCTATGGAAATATGTGACTCAACACAAGAGCCAGGAGTGGAGGCTGACGCAATACGGCTACGTCACTCCCCTTTCTCTATTACATGGAAAAACAAAGAGCTGGCTATCTCGCCAACTACAAGGAATATTCCGTACGTGTGAGGCATTGGTTGAATCCTTTATTGAAGAGTTTATCCCTCCATGGAAAGTTTTCGATTTAAGGACCAAATTGCTCAATTCCAACAGTGACATCATGAGTCTGTGTATGAAGCATAGGAGCGTTATCAAGGTCTACTTTGTGATTTGCCCACATCATGGGTTCTAAGAAGAAAAATTACCTGACATCTTTGGCAAGGCCCTTGATCTAAACACCACCATGATGGTGAATCAAGCTTCCAAAGGTGATGTGTCTCACTTGAACGTGCAAAGCGCTCTTGAGCACCATGCGTCGACGGCCGCTAAGACTAGAAACTACTCGTGCGACAGTGAAAATGGTACAAAATAATCCAGATGTCTCTATTGGCAGCATAGCAAAACAAGTTGCCTCCGTAGCTAAGGAGGTGCAAGCACACAAGATGAGTTGAAACACCCCTATCGCGCACATCTTTTGTTTTTTTTTTTTTTTTTGCAAGCAATTATCCTCAAATGAGGAGGTCGATTTCGTAAACACAATTATCCTCAAATGCGCAAATTTGATCTCCCCATCTTTGGATGTCAGAACTCGTGACCTCTGTATTCTTTAACCACCTATATGAGCTTCAAAAATATTCCCTTCAAGCGATTGTCGAACTTGGAGCTAGCTTCTGGCAGGACAACGACCTCTTCCAGAGTACAAAATTCGGCCAACTACCCAAAAATATAATTCACCAACACACCATATATTTGTGCGCACAGTGGGATGGTAGAGCTCCACCCAATCCAAACTAGGTAAAGAAATTGAATCCTCCACCAACAGGATAAATAGGCTCCCTCAATTCAGAGAACAACGCACCTCCTGATGCCTTGGAACGCTTAACAGTTGATGAGCTACGTGCATACATTCAAGGCTATGAGATGACTCTTAAAAACATGGAGTGTGCATTATCACGAGAATGATCGTGTTCAAACTCGAAAGCTCACGACAAAGGTGATACAATCCTGGAATCGATCAAATTCCATCTAGGATTGATCATCAAAGAGGACAAGTCGAATTGCAAAGAAGAAGCTGAAATTTGTCAAAGTATTTTTCATGTTCCAGGTAGCCGATTATGGAGGCTCGGTTCTCTTAATTGGCTAGATGAAAATTCGAGTTTGATAGCTTGTTTTGAAGATAAGAAGTTTATCTACACGATGGTATGCTTGGTATCCCGAGAGAAAGTTCAGAAGGTCAATTTTTAGACGTCCAAAGTTTCTATCTGGAAAGCTTACAACAGCCAGAATTTTGCCAAGGTTGGAAACGTGTTCGAGGAGCCTACTTTGAAGCTTCATTGGAGAAAGATGGGTACGATTGGAAACAGGAGCTTTGTGCCACACAAAAATACCTATTTTATTCTACACCTTCAAAGCATTGGATAATCAAAAGGAAGCTTGGAAGGCCATGAACAAGAGGCTCAAAGATCGTATGGACCACTATTGAAGACTTGTTCACAAAGGCATATTTCTTGAGGTTTAAGTCACCTTGTTTGTTTAGATTTCTTAACCATTTTTTAATATGATTCGTTTACCTAGTTTTAATTATAGTTGGTTTATGACTACTTGTTAGTTTTGGTTCTTAATTGGCTATTTAAAGGCCTCAAATCAGATTCTACAAGATAGAACTTGATTAATCAAAAACACTGTTGTTTACTTCATAAGCTTGCTTGTGAAAATGCTCGAGAGGTTTGGTTAGTATCAATCTAGCATTTATCTAGATTGTGGTCGATCTTCTATCCCTTAAACCCAAGGAGCCTATTCCCAAGTGTGAATTTGTCCTTTTTGAATCGTGTTATCCCAACGAAACTTGTTTTCGTTAGTTCTTGTCCAAAATTCATTTCAAACTTGGAATTGATCGAAGCTGCGCATTCTGAAACATATAATCTCCTAACCGAGATCATATCAAAAGGACATACCTTCCCACATGCAACTCTTAGTACTTCGAACGCTACCCGATCCGAATTAATTCATAATCCCATGTACCCTCGACGATCATCACGAGATGGGAGCACGTATCGATCTAGGGTTCAGTCTTAACACTATATCCTTTAGCATCTTTAGGTCACTTGACATATACAAACTAGAGAGCATAAACATGACCATTTCCTTGGCCAACAATTCGATTTGTCAACCACTGGAAATGGTGAGGGATTTGAAGGTGGAAATACGACCTTCATATTCTCTCCCGAGTTCATAATACTCGACATTCATAAAGATAGAGACTACTCTATACTCTTTGGAAGATCCTTCTTAACCAC